TCATCCCAGCGCGATTCCCTCCCCGTTCCGTCTTCCCTCCTCTCCCGCCACGCACATCATGGCGCGGCCCTGACCTCTCCCGTCCCTTTCCCTTCACCCGCCATCACCGCTCAGCCCCAGCCGCCCCTCAGAACCGCCATGTCCCCCCTCAACCCCCCACCTTTCCCCCCCCTCGCCGCGGTGGTGCGCCCCGCCGCTCACGTGACGAGGGGAGCGCGTGCGTGCCCTTTGCGTCTGACGTCACGGCGGCGACGCCGCGGAGGCTGCCGGGAACCATCGTTCCCCCTCATGAGCTGGAGGCGGCTGCGCGGCCCCATCGCCCGGGTGGCGGGTGAGCGCGGAGGGGCCAGGACGGAGCCACCGTGAGGGAGGGAAACCCCCTTTTTTTCCCTCGTGAAGCCCCCGTCCCGGCCGCGGGGGGTGAGGCCCGGGCGGCCCCGGGGCTCTGAGCCCCTCGGTTGAGGGTGTCTCAGTCGGCGTGAGGCGCTGAGGGGGTGGTTGTGGTCACCCCGCAGGGGCCTGTGAGTGAGGGGGGGGCCATCCTCTCGCCGAGCTTTTGTCTCCGAGCGTCTGCTCTCTCCACGGCCGCGGGACGGGCATCGTTCCCCCAGCGCTGCCAGCCATCCTTGGGCTGCTGGGGGTGGGTCTGGGATGTCCCTTCCCTCGGTTAGGAAAGGCAAACGGGAGGTGGGTTGGGATTGCATGCTGGAATCCCCTCCCAACATCAAAAAGACGTGGACCTGTTGAAGGGAGTCTAGAAGAGGCCACGGAGATGCTGCGAGGGCTGGAGCAATCCCCTCCCAACATCAGAAGAACGTGGACCTGTTGAAGGGAGTCTAGAGGAGGCCACGGAGATGCTGTGAAGGCTGGAGCCCCTCTGCTGGGAGGACAGGCTGAGAGAGCTGGAGGGGGGATCAGTCTGGAGAAGAGAAGGCTCCGGGGAGACCTTCGAGCCCCTTCCAGTCCCTCAAGGGGCTCCAGAAGAGATGGGGAGGGACTCTGGATCAGGGAGGGGAGCCACGGCGGGATCCCCCTCACAGCAAACGAGGCGGCCTCTTGGGGACACCCTGAG